GCACCAGACATTCTAAAATATATAAATAGTTTTTGATGTTTAAAATACTAGTAGTCATTGTAAAACAACTTTTATGAGTATGATGGTCTTGAAAATAATTTATTAGTTGTAAAAATCTATTGGGATAATATTTGCTTTGATTGGTCCTCTAAAAGAGGTTAACTTCAATAAAAGTTTATATTAAGCCAAAAAAAACAGATTATCTGGATATACCGCTTATAGAAAAATTTTAGTAGCATAACAAAAAAGAAAATTAGTATAGACCAACAAAATTATATTCTATAGACCAAAGATCCAGGAGTTTGCCCTAAAAGAAATCCTCTCTGATGCTCTTCCCTAGGTGGCCGTCTCCATGGATTTCCCCTTCAGCTTTTGCCCAGTCCTTTAGCCTTCAGTCCTATGAAGCAACTCTCCTTTCCCATGGCTATGGTGGTGATTGTGTCTCTTCCATCAGTACTCCATTCGCCATCTCCGTCGTTACAACTCCGTCTGCCTCCAGATCCGCCGCCGTGTTTGCCTTTCCCGATGACGTTCAAAGCTCTCCCTCCACCGATATGTTCGTCTTCTCTAGTGTCGTTCAAAACTCTCTCCTGGCGGAACCACCAGATCTGTCACCGTGTTCGTACTTTCCAGTGTCGTTCAAAGTTCTCTCCCTGCCGGAACCATTAGATCCTCCCGACGCTTCATTCCGCTTTGCTGTTCATCCACACTTTGACACACCTTTCATCCTCTCTCAATCATTTTTCAAAATTTGGAATCTGGAAATCTCGTTTCCAAATCTGGTCAATTGTGTATGCAGTGTCTTTTTGGTAGATGTGTTGTCTGGAGTTGTCACTGTTCTTCTCCCATTAATATCACCTCAAGCTTTTACTCAGATCTCATCTCTAAAGCCTCCATCCATGATGGCGACAAAGATTAGTGGTGGTGGTGGTCTCCTGGTGTCTGTTAGCGACACCTTCTTCGCCTACGGGGTCCCTTATCCTGTGATATACATGTCTTTATGTGGGTGAGTCGACTGGATTTCGATCAGTTCATGTTTCGAATTCTCAAGTACTCTTCCTTGTAAGGTCTTTCATCCCCATCTTAGCTCTTTTTCTCTACTATAGAATGGTTTAGACAGCTATTTGTGTGGGTGACGTTGTAGTTGAGGTTCATGATTTTAGCTGGTGATATACCGATGGGCTTAGTCTCATTTGATTTTATCTTTGTGACATCTAATAGCATTTATATCGCCTTAGCGCGATCGTCTACAGTATGTAGTTCTCTTACGGGGTCCATTTCGAATGTTGGTGTTGTGTTCGTATATCTCTCTTCTTGGTGACATGTAAAAGAGAAATTCATTGTCATCTTTATCCCAAAGAATATGGATGTAGAAGGTTATGATTTCCCGCTTGTCCTTCGTTTGAATCAGTCTTCTCTCCTAATTTTTCTACCTATTTGGAGTGAATTGGATGAACAAGTTTCGTTAGTATTGCAAGGATCTTCCTCTGATTGAATGCTCTTCTCTGCATATTGTGCAGTGTGTGTGGTTCTATGGGTTACACTAGATGCGGTCTTTGAAGAAGCTTATGATATTGTTATGATACGATTTCATATGGTTTCTTTTTGTGATTTGTATCGCCATTTTATCCTTTTTGTTATTGTTGTTGTTTATTTGGCTGTCAATAACTTCTTTGTGTCATCCTTTGAGGGACTATAAACATATCTAAAATTAGAGAGAATTAGCAAAATACCCATATTTGTAATCTATATTAGAAAGTTGCCATTCGATTGACAGATGAGACACATGTCACACAATTTCATCCAAGAATAGACAAAAGTGCCCTAACCATCTGACACTCTCTTCCCCCTTTTCTCTTATACACACACTCTATCTCTTGACACTCTTTTTTCTCTATACGGATGAATCCACCATAAGAACTCATTATTCTTATTTTTTTTTCATTTATCCTCTCATCTCTTTCCTCAACCATTATTCTTTTTTTTTCTCTTATTATTTTGTTGAACACACTCTTTATACTTTTGAACAATTTTTTCCTCATCTTAATTTCAAAATAATTTTCATTAAATAAAAAATAATTTTCCGCATACATTCTAAATTCATGTCAGTTATATGAGAAATCATATCTTCAGCATATTTTCCGCGTAAAAGAGTAAATCTAAAGTAATATATTTACAAAAAATTAAAAATCTGATAAATACTTTTTCTAGGTTTAAGATCAATTACATTATTGCTAATTGATGATTTGGCCACCAAATATGTTATAATATATGCTAACGAGTTAACATTTTGTAATATGTTACAAATTTTGTTAACATTTAATATTAGTTGATACGTGTATTTGTTAACAGCTAACACCTATGTTAACATCTACAAAATATTTGTTAACATGTAACACTTCTGTTAACACCTCTGGTATATGTTTTTGTTAACATTTAACACTTCTGTTAACATTTACATTATTTGTTAACAGTTAACACAAATGTTAACATCTTTGGTACATGTATTTATTAACAACTAACACTTTTGTTAACAATCGATAATGATGATTATTCCGACGATTTTAAAAATACTTCAATGTTGATTTTCTCAATATGTGATGTAATTAAAATAATTTAGATTCATATGAATAGTAGTAAAATAGTAATAAGTTCTCTTCTCAACAATAATTTTTCACATAAAATAGAGTGTATTAACATGATATCTTTATATTTAAAATTAGAAACAAAAATATAATAAAGGAGAAGAAAATGTATCAGTTGATACAAGTGGCTATAGAGTGGATGACACAGCTAGGAGTGACTATAGAATAGCTGACATAGCTACACAGAAAACCTATAGGGTCAAAATCGTCTTAGAAATAAATTAATCAATCATGAATAGTTAGCTAATTAAAATATCGATTTTGGGTGTAACAGCTAATTATCTCTTAAAATTAATGCAAGTTTGGTTTGTTCAAAAACAAAAAAGTCCTACGATCCAGAATCCCCCCCCCCCTACTTAACTAAAATTGTAAATCAAAATATTTGATCCGTGGTTGGAAATTGTGGACTATAATGTAGGTGTATGATGGTTGTGATTCGTCATCGACTTTTATGTGCAAACAATAATGAAAGTAAGAAGAAAACGATATGGAAAGGACCCAGAGCATGGGGTACGTTTTATAATATGGGAAAATAAAATATAAATATAAATAGTGTTACTCCAGAGAAGTACTATTATTATATACATACACAAATTTAAATTCCAAGCACTTTTATTACTTACTAGGGAAGAGAAAAGGAATAGAAACAGAAGAAAAAATGAATGGGAAATGAAAGAAAAGTAGAAAACAAAAGAGAATTAGGGGAATGAAGTCAAATCAGTGGTCCAAAAGACAAAACGAAGGACCATTGTAAATTTCTAATTTATTCAAATCACAAAGTTAAACACGAAACCATAAAACAAAAAAAATGGAAAATACGAACAATAATTATGCTATGGTCAAAGCTTAGCAGTTGGGATATTTTAATCTGGCCTAGTAAACTTACATGGTAAAAGAAGATCTAGTAAATTTTGAGATATAGATGAAAATTATTAATTTCTCTATTTCAAATTATTTTTCATTTTGACGTTTTGCACACAAATTAAAAGACTATTTATATATTCAGATTTATTTTTGTTTGACCATTAGAATTACATAATATTTATATGTATATATATATATATATATGTTTTGCTACTTACTTAAAATGCATATCAAATTTGTTTAACAAAAATTACATCTAAAATCTCAAAATAGCAAATACATTAATGTGTTTTTATTTTCAAAATTTTATTTTTAAACTTATTGATCGCCTAACTTATTAAAAAATAGAAAATCACTTCAATTAATATTAAAATTTGAAGTACAATAAATTTGAGCAGTGAAGAATTTGGATTTTTATTTTCAAAATCTAAATATCCGAATCTGACCCAAAATAACCAAATTTAAATAAAAAATATCCAATCTTGATCTGATGTGTAAAAATATCCAAATGGGTACTAAACTCCATTATCCCGAAATATTTGATCTAAACCTGAATAAGTACATGAATGCCCATGGTTGGTCCTAACTCGTGAGTTATAAGTTTTTTCATTATAAATGAGAAAAAATATATTTTTTGCCAGCTCACAGATGTTTATTTGATTATTCGTGGAAAAAGATTAGTTTTTTTAGAACAAAAGGGATTGATATTAAGATGTAAGAATATACAATGTTTTCATGCAACTTGTATAGATATAGCTATGTGTAAATTTATGGTACGTCGTCATGCAATGATTCTCTTTAAATAATTTAAAAATTTAAGAGAATACTGAATGGGTCAAGAGTCAAGACTAATGTAACCAAGTAGATTATGTATATCATTATAGTGTTAACTGTGAAGGAAAAAACACATGTCACCCTGATTCTTTGAATAAACAAGTTTATAAAAGCAAAAAACCATTCCAGCTGGTTATTTATATAAGGGAAACCTTTATTCTTTCTATTTTACTAGTCTTGAATCTTGATTGTCTAAAAAAGTGACCAAAATTTGACTTACGAGATTTAAGTCGTCAAATCATCACTATGTTATGAACAATTAAAAAAAGAGAATTATATTTTGAGTTTTAACGCTTTAGTGTAGATTTGTTCTAAAGATATAACGTCATTAACACAATTTGAACCAAACCAAAAGCCACACCGTACCAAACATTTATGTATGATTTAAACATAACAGAAACATGATGTGATGTATTAAATTAAGTAGCATTTACTAGATTTTTGTGTTTCCAAAACCGAAACTATCAAGCAATTCCGAAAGAATATGTCAAATTAAATCCTTGTTTTAAAACACAGCTACAACGGAATATACAACAAACAGAAAAAAATTGATGACCTTTTCTAAAGTTTAATTATTATTATTTTGGCCTTATGCAAAGATGTATGTATAGGGCGATACAAGTATGAGTGCATCCAAAAAGACAAAGAGAATAGATGGAAAAAGAGTCAGTCATCTTTTAGAAAAAGTCAGAAACCATATCAGAAAACAAATAAAGTTTCTCTTTTAATCCAACATAGCCACGAATCCTCTCACAGGCTCTTCGTTTCTCTTTCTTTCGTTTTGCGTTTTGAAGAAAAAGAATCTCAACTTTTTGTTCTTGGGTTCTTTAGGGTTCTTGGTACTGATCGATATCCTTAGAAAATGGGTAAAGCTGCTGGGAGAAACGGTAATGAAGACTATGACGGCGTTGGATTTAATGGTCACAGAGGCGGTGGAGTTAGGCCTTACGTACGGTCTCCAGTGCCTCGGCTAAGATGGACGCCGGATCTCCACCGTTGTTTTGTTAACGCTGTTGATATGCTCGGTGGCCAACATCGTACGTTTAGTTTCTACTCGAATCTTTTGTTATTTTGTTTTTATTAACATGTATTTTTTGGGATCAAATATTAACATGTCTTTTATTAACAAATCCTCTTTGTCAACATTTCACACATATGCTTTACTTTGTTTCTTCAAGATAACTCCAAAAAAGCATCGTACGTTTATCGTCATCGTCATGAAGGATCATCTCTTAGTCATGTTTTTGAACCAAGCTTCACGTTTGCTTACTTTGTTTCATCATTTATCTTAAAGTTTGGATGCTTTTTTTGGAGTTGTCTTATTTAAAAAAAAAGTATTGCAATTTCTCATTACTTTTTTCATGAATAGTCATTACACAGAATCATCACAGTAACCTTTTTAATTTTGTTTGTTATCTTTTGTATTTTTGTTGGGTTTGATGAAACAGGAGCCACTCCAAAGCTTGTTCTAAAGATGATGGATGTGAAGGGACTCACAATTTCACATGTCAAGAGCCATCTCCAGGTAATAATTTGTACCAAACATTTGTTTTTTTTTTTCCTAGTATCCGTATCATAATATCTTGAATATTAAAGCACATTTTCTCTTCTATTTTTGATAAATATAACAGATGTATAGAGGTTCTAAACTCACTTTGGGGAAACCAGGTAATGTATATTTTTCCTCTGTGTTTATTAATATCCATAAATATTCTGAAATGATATGATTTTCGAAAGAATGGGACCGTTGATTTTAATTTGAGCTGTTAACATCAAAACTATAATAATGGATGGAATTTAATTGTTTTACTGTTTCTGTTTGTAGTATGTACTATTGGCCTAGTGTCATGATTCATAAGACAATTGTCATAAATACATTTGTTTTGATTAAAAACAAGAAAATGAGTATTGCTATTTTTATAGATCAAGAGAATATTCATAATGGTCATTAGTTATTTTATTATTATCTTTTGGGGACAGAGGAAAGCTCTTCATCTTCAATAAGAAGAAGACAAGACACTGATGAAGATCATCTTCATGACAACTTGTCTTTACACACAGAGAATGATTGTCGTCTGGGTTTTTACCCCTTCCCTCCTTCACATTCTTCTCTTAGGTAATTCTATTTTATTTTATTTTTATATAATTTCTGAATAGCCTTTAATTTGGAATAGTTATAATATTATGCCTTTTGGCTGTATTTGAATTGTCCTTTTTATTGTTTGTTGATATTTACTTTGGTACAGAGGAGGAAGAAGAAAGGAGCAGACTTCAGAGTCTAGTGCTGATGATGATGATAACTTCCTTCACATCAAGAAGACGAAAGAAACGACAACGTTTCCGTCATATCATTTCCACAAGGTATTTTTTTTTTGCCAACATGATCTCATGTATAGTTTAGTTAAGTCTTAACCGGGTGGATTGAAATTGGAGTAACATGAGGCGAGTCTTGTTCGGTTTAGTAACTGATCTCAACTATTTTAGCTCAAACAGAAAGCAGAGAAGGAGAAGAACAATTGGGAAGAACACGAAGAAAAGGAAGATTTGTCGTTATCTCTGTCGTTGAATCATCATCATTGGAGAAGCAATGGATCATCAGTGAGCGAAACGAGTGAAGCGGTCTCCACTTGTTCTGCACCATCTTCAAAGATTGCTACGGTTCTTCACCAAAGATTGATCTTAACCTTAACCTCTCAATTTCTCTCCTCGGCAGCTGAAATTAATAAATAAATATTTGTTTCTTAGATTAGTTGTAGTGAAACATTCGGATTTTTGTTATAAAACTACTAGAGCTTAGCTCTCAAAAAAAAACTACTAGGCTATGAAAATCTTGAAAATAAAATTCAAAGTTACGTAAGTATCAAACTGAAACCTCTAATAAAGACTATAGTATAAAACGCCATAACAATGTAAAAGAAACAGAGCCAATCCTAAACAAAACAAAAAAATACAGTATGTTCATTTTTCATTTTTCATTTTTCATTTTTCATTTTTCATTTTTCATTTTTCATTTTTCATTTTTGGAAGATAAAAATCAGTTTAAGACAAAAAGTAACAATCAAAATAAATTATACGAATTTAACAGCCTGTCAGTAGTATTCAATTTCTTGAATTAATATTAGTACCGTTTTGTCTTGATAAAATAGTAAAAAGGAGAAAAAATACTTTTGAAAAAAAATCTTGAAATTCACACTTTTGCTCTCGTGCGGAAGACCATTGTCGGTGTGGATGAATCTCTGGCACCGTGTTGCCTCGAGGCTCAAGACGGCGAGGCATTGAAATGATCTCATATGAGTTGATTTCCTTAGATATCACTGGCGAGTTTCTCCGTTTCACAAGTCTTTCTTGATGTTACTGTGACCTGCATTCTAATTCTGGTATAAGTTTCATACCACGAACTTACAGAACCTATGCTAGAAGATGTTCTGCGTAGAGCTGCAACGAGAAATAAATACAGTGATTCTAACAACTTTGAATGAGCTTGGGCAGATCCACGATCTGTTATCAAGCATGCTTTTGAACCATTTGGTGATCATTGCTCTAGAAGTTGCGGCGAATTGCATGAGTATTCGTTCAGCCTTGAAACAGAGGGAGTTGCTTTTGCCGGCCCAGCCCAATCTAGTTGCATTCCTAACGGCTAAAGCATATATTAAACATTTATGCCCATCCATAAATATAAATACAAAAAGTTACAAAATTTTGAAATAGAAGAACCAATCCCAGTAACTCATCAACCTTGTTAAAATATACATTCAACCACTATACCACAAAAAGATTTTACTAAATTTATGCCGGCTTACAGACTTATTTTATTTGCGCTTAAAACCCTTATTTGTTGGGTTTTAGGTAAGGATGCCATGTGCTTTTGCAAAAGTTTTTGTTTGGTGCGACATGTACAGCAACAACATTCTTTGCATGTACATTTCTATCAATTTAGACCATCTCCAATGGGGTTCTATCCCATTGGAGTTCTAAAACTATATATATGTATGTATATATTATATATATGAATATAATTGTAGGGTCTACCAAATATTGTAGAACCCTCCCCAAAAATTCTAAATGTAGAACTTTTTAGAATTTTTGAGGAGAGTTCTACACTATTTAGTAGACCCTACAATTACATACATATATATAATATATACATATACATATATATAGTTTTAGAACTCCAATGGGAGTTATCAGTTAGTTATCAGTTAGTATGAAAAAACTCTTGTATGTTTCATTTTTTTGGGAAAGATTAACCATGAACACTAATAAACGTAGTATATTCTAAGTAAACTCACAAGCCCGAAACAGATTACGAGACGCTCGGAAATCGAACTACATGTGACTATAGGGGTTCAAATGGTTACATTGTCTAATAAGATCTGTGTAACATGTTGTTTCTGAATTTATTTACTGTTTATTGCCTTTGCCAAACTTTTAGACGAGAGATGAATGATTTTGCATCTTCTTTTAAAATGCTTACCCATAACTAAAAATTGAGGTATGGCTCGGGTCATGTACATGTAGTACTAGGCTATTAGTTGGCGGTTTTACATGTCAATTCCGTATCGTGGATATATTGTGACTGGTTCATAGCCAAACTTCAATTTTTTCTATTGCAAGCACAATTTTATCGTGGATACATCATGGTTATGTGACAGATTTTTACTAGGATGAATAGAACAAACGAAATATATATATATATATATATATATATATATATATATATATATATAAGTGTGTGTGTGTGTGTTTTAGACATAATATCAGACCCTTACATGATGTTGGAATCATCTTCGTTCACAAAAGCCAAAGATTTGTATTGTGGACTAAACTTTATTTAGCCTTGTAACCACTTTATTTGGACTATTATACCACATTGTAACATCAGGGTCATCCTAATTTGTCAGTCCATATATATGCATATTATTCGTTGTGTGTAAGTTTTACTCACGTAATATTGTAAATCTTTTTTTAATAGAACTAGATCATTTTCCGTGCTACGTGCGGATAATTGTGTTTTAAATTTTATGGTCAATTTTGTTAACTTATTTATGTAATTATAGAATAATTCAGAATTTCATATGTACGTAAACTATATATTATGTTAGATATAGTATGTGAGGGGAGACATGATTTGTTTTTTGTTGTTTGAATGTTACATAGAGTTTTTACATTTTTGTAAGAAAAGTATTTTTTTTATTAATTTACTAATTTACCAAAGAGTTAAACATATAAAGATAGTTTGGATGATGTCGAAAACTGTTCTCGTTAGTTTTTTTTATGTAGTTAGTTTTGTTTCCTCGATTATTATCTTCTGACTTTGAGCTGAGGTGTTGATGAAAGATTTAACTTTAACTCATTTATTAAGTCTAATTTTTATCTTTTTTTAAGTCGGCGATGACTTACCAAAATAAAAACGTGTAGCCTATGATAAAAAGCGAAATATCTTATTTTGTAAAAAAGTTGTTAATAAATATTTATCAACATTTAAACTATTATTTCTCTCTAATTTTGTATATTTTGGAGATAATATTTGTCACCACAATAATTTTATATTTTCAGTTATTTATGCTTTGAACTCCGTCAATAGAGATGCCTGGTTGTCCCAAACTGTATACAGTATAACCTCTTTAAATTAATAATCTATAAATTAATATCTCTATAAATTAATATAATTTCATAGTCCCAAATTGAATTTTTGGTTCAATTAATATCCCGATAAATTAATAATCTCTATAAATTAATAAAAAATTTAGTTTTGGTGTAGTCCCAACCTTATTAATTTATAGAGGTTTTACTGTATATACCTTTAAGATTTTTCTGTTTATATTTATATTGTAGTTCTTTATTATTATTTTAAGACTTTTTGTATACATATATATACATTATATTTTATCTATTTGTTTTTGTTTTCGTTATTCTTTTTTCTACGTACGATTTGTATAATTTGAATTATAACTTTATTCGTGTATGATTTTTTTTTATCTGAATTTGTTTTATTTTTGCATAAATATTTATTAATTTTATTTTGACCAGTGTTAGCTAAAAAATTATATCATTTTTTACTTTTTCCTTCTAAAAAATTTAGAAAATAATTTACCATTTTTTATTCTAAATCATATATATTTTTTAGATATTATAAAGTAAGATTACATTATATGTAAATTATTGTTAGTTTCTTCTTTTCTGTCGCTACCTCTTCCGATCTCATATATCGTATAATATAAAGTTTTATCTTCTTTTTCATTTTCATTTTCATTTGAAACTTTGAATACTCTATATGTATTTGTTGAAACATAATCATTTTAATGGTTTCGTGGCCATTACTAATTTAACTAAACTATTTGTGTATAGTTAACTAATGTTAATAGTCTTAATCTAAAGTTTTATCTTCTTTTTCATTTTCATTTTCATTTTCATTTGAAACTTTGAATACTCTATATGTATTTGTTGAAACATAATCATTTTAGTGGTTTCGTGGCCATTACTAATTTAACTAAACTATTTGTGTATAGTTAACTAATGTAAATAGTCATATATTCTTATGACAAACATGCTTCTTGAAATCTTATAAATATTTTAAATTTTCAGTGACTTGTATGCAACTGTAACATCTATCATATACTCAAGCATCCAAAGAAGCATGGTACTATATTATTTTCCATCTTAAAATCAGGAAAATTATAATTATTTGGCATAAATTTTGGATTAACTCTTCAGTGATCACATTACTATTTATTTTTATTTTTGATTATGTTGTGTTGAGAATCTTTATATCTGCATTGAAAATATGTATCTTATATTTATTTTAACTTCAAGTTCTTGCTTCCAAAATTTTTCTGATAATGTGTAGATTTGGAAGGGGAGGTCATATGTATTTTAACTAACTTAAAAAACTATTAAGGTTTAAACGTTTAGTGATTAGTGCTCATAACTATCAGTTAAAAATACTTAAATTCTATGAGTAATAAGTTTGTAACTCTGACATGTAGTTTTTTTTATCTTATGTTCTCATAACATTTATCTTTAAGAACAAAATTAGTAGTATAACAGTCAACGGTTTACTTTGGATTTTGAAAAAGGATTGCATTCCACGTGAGATAAGCACATTCATCAAACATTGAATGGGATTCTTATATTGATCAAAGAATAATATTACTTTTCTTCACAACTTGCATCACTTTTGTTTTTCTAGTGAATGGATCAAAATTATTGAAACAATATATAATATCCAGTTTAATATTGTATGAGTCATTCAGTTTTTAATTACTCATAAATTTCTATCGTAAGTTGCTAGTGATTCCCCACTTAATATGTTTGATGAGGAAAAAAATACATATTTGAGTATTTCCATAACCAAATAGGTATGCACTAAGCAGTAACAGTTACGAACTCAATAGTACAACAATCAAATATCCCTAAAACTAAAAAGCCTTGGTATAAGGTAACCAAATTAAATTAGTTTCGTTTCACAATCTTATACTGTGTAATGTTGCTGAATCGTGTCAACGTCAAGTCCTTTAGACTTAACCACTGATGCTACTCGTCCTGTTGATGTATTTAGTTCTCTCAACCTGCAAAAATGTGTGCAAACCCGGAAGAAACAAAAAAAAATTGAATTGTGATAGGCGAAGATATTTTTTTGGGTAGATTTCATATACTGTAAGAGTTTTGAACCGATAGTGCGATATAATATAGAAAAAAATGGAAGGAATTAGTTTTCACCTGGCCACCTC